AACGTGATAGAGGCTGTGTTGCTTGAAGGCATTAGCATGGGAATGAAACAGTCCTTGCTGATCAAATGCAGGCCTCACAGACTAAACTGTCTCTTGGGACGTGCCAAGTTAGCAGTACTCCCGAGCAATGTGTTGCGAAAAGAAGTAGGTGTGTACAGCACCCAGTGACGGAGGACGCCGCCAGTGTGAGACTCCAGAAGGACTCCCACACACAAGCCTAACAGCAGACAGCCAGCTCTGCCTGGTGTCACTGCAGGCAGAGATGTGACTGCGTCCACGTGAGAGGTCCCAGAATACCCTGAGATGCCTGAGTAGGGCGAGGCGGGGCGGAGAAGCAGGACAGGTGAAGAGAGCCACACACTGGCTGACTTTTATAGTGCCAGAGTCGTTTTGTGGCCTTCTGATGGCTGCTTTAATGAAAAGCAATGTTTAAATTATCTTCGGAACATGGACAAAATCTGGGCAGAACATCTGATGTGCCCTGACAACCTTAAACAGCCCCAACCAAGGCCTTGCACACTCCTTAGGAAGAGTCACACTTACGTGCTCAGGAAATGTCTCAGTGGCCCTCCCTGCCTTATCCCACTTGCTTTGTTTTGACAAAACAGTGTCATTAGTATTCAACAGTTTGTATTGAGAAAGGAAGGACCCTCCATACCGACTAGAGAAGATGTGTTCCTGTGTAAAGCACTTAGACTGTCCCAGCCTCACAGTCAGTGCTGTGCAGACACTCATTATCATTATTAGGATTTCCTATTGCCTCTTGACTATTCAAGCTTCAGAGAATTCAGCTTCTCTGCTTATTCCTCTTAGAATCATACCTTGTTTGGACTCTGATTTTGCTTCTTGGCACTTTCTCGTATCACCCTGAACTCCATGTTTCCCAGACAGTTAGTCAGTCTCCCTTAGCCACTGCGTCTCTGTCCATCTGTCTCAAATACATGCACACACCCCTGCCCCAGGATCAGCGGTCGGGTTCAGTGCCGCAGATTTAAATGGATACTTCTCAACTTTTCAGTTGATGAATTTACACCTTAGTTCCAACTGAAAAGGGAAAAAAAGTCTCTATCTTGCTCTGGAAAAACTGCCTGTGCTCAAAGAATAATAGTATGGGCCTATCTGCTAAAAACAGGCTGGTAAACAATTAAAATTAATTACTTGAAATTGTGTTTCTATTTAAAATTTAAGTGTTAGATGAGCAATTGTTCTGTTGAGGGATTCTATGCATCTTTCCAGTCAGCAGGATGTTGTTCAAATGTGTTTCTAAAGAACACGAGTTACAGTGATTTCACACTTGCCAAAAAGAATTGTAATTCCTGTTTCGAAGCCAGCGGAAGCTCAAATGCTTCTGACTGTGCCAGATCTGACTGGAAACGGAGCCCTTACGTGAATGAATCAGGGAATAAATCATTTATTAATACTGACAGTATGTGGGGCACCCAGCTAGACCCTTCTAGCAGCTGGCAGGGTGATAGGGAGACAAACTTGTTGACAATGGACAACAGCATTGACACTAAAAACAGTCCAAATTGTACCCAATGAGTAGGATAGCCCCGGACTGTTAAGACTCTCTAAACCGGAGTGTGGAAAAATTACTGATGATTTAACTTAACTTCTGACTTAGAGGTTAAAGCCTCTAAGGGAGTTTTGCACCTAAAGCCAAAGCAAGGATGCTTCTTAGGGTTCCCATTGTGTGTAATACGGTAGCATTTCAACAGTGCCTACAACACATGACAAGATAAAATAATGGGTAGCGTAGTAAACTTTCTTTTCTGGCTACCCACATCTATTTACCTACTTCTGGTAACAGCCCACAATTTATGTTTGGAGATTGACTGCTTCCCCTACCCACTCGCCCCCCTGCCCTCACCTCCCTCTAGTCCCTGTAATTCCTGTACAGCTGATTCCACTGTCAGTTCTGGAGGGTGTTACGTGGCCCAGACTTGGCCTGAGCCAAGTTACTAATTCACAGGCAGCTCAATCAAGGTAATGAGACTCCAGGGCTTCTGTCAGAGCCATCCTGCTGGACTCTAGCCAGAAATATTGTGAGAAGGGGCTGCTGCAGCTCTCTTGTCACCATGAGGAGCCTTAGAATGAAGCATGAGCATGTCACACATGGATCCTCATATGGAGATTAAAGAGGCAGAAGCCAAGAGCTTCCTACCCCTGGTTTTCCAGTTAGGTGAACCAGTTAATTCCTTTATTATTTAGTTTGTGTTTGAGAGTTTTGTGTGTTTTGGTTTTCCCTAACACAGTGGTAAGTATAGTTTATTTTATCTTAGGCAAACAGTGGCTGATTCAGGAGCTTGTCCTTAAGGAAACTCCCTCTGTCTCTAATCCATTGAGTCAGTGCTGTTTTTTCTCCAGAACCCATGACTCACATGGCTGCAGCCAAGGTTGTTGCTCCCCCTGAGAGGAAATTTTCAAGTCAGATTTTCTTTACTACCCACTTGGCCTTGGAAGTTCCCCAAGAGCCAGTATGGGTAAGACTCTATCACCCTCTCCCAACTTCCCACCTCATGGTACTGCCTCTTCCTGGCTTGGGGAGCTTGGAAAACCCTCTCCCTGCCTCCCCACTCTCCTCTCTCACTGCCACCACCCCTGGAATACTTCCTCTCAGCAGTTCTCCTGTGCACCCTTCGTTGACGAAGTGTCTTGCCTCCCCATGGAAAATGTGAGCATCATCTCCCAACATTCTGTTCTGTGGACAAGTGATAATCATTAATATATATTGAATGCATGTTAGGAGAGCCTTGCTGATAAAAGCTTTACATAGACTATCTCACATAATCCTCTCAAAACCCCCAACCTGTCAGTTTATTATTCCCACTTTACAGATCAGGAAACTGAGGCCTAGGTCAGTAAAATAAACTTCCCAAGGTCACACAACCAGTAACTGTAAGATAGGAAGTAATATTACATCCTCTTGTGAATCTGGGCAGTGCTTTTCTGAACTCCATTCAGAGACTGATAATTTATATACATCACAGGACAGGGAGCAGGTATGGGAGAAGGAGCCCCGGGTCAGGCAGAGACCAGATGATTCATTTAAGTGGAGCTATCATGGGTGGAAAAGAACAGAGCAATAATGTATAGTTATTTGTCTTCCAGTTTGTAATTGTTCATAGCAATGACTATTCTGGAAAAGTGTGGTGCCTCACTAATTCATGTATCTTTTATCTTTGAAAGGCATCTTTCCAAAAACCTTATCTTGTTTTGTGCACTATCAGGATTCTTTTCCTATCTTTTCCTCCACATATTTATTTCATTAACTCAGCAAATGTTTATTGCTTGTTTATGACATACTGGTTACCACGCCGGGCATGGGGGTACAATTGTTGGCCAAAAAGGTTAGAATGCCTGACTTCGTGGAGCTTACATTATCAGTCTTACCCAAATAAGTGTTAGCTTACAATTGAGATAAGTGTTTCAGAAGAGAGACAAATGGTCACATCTGTGAGAGCCTAGGATGGAGAAGTGGCCAGTGATGGGGGCAAAGCAAAAGAGAAAGAAAAGGTATATATTTGGAAGACAGTCATTCCAGTCCTTAGTCCCCACATTTGTTTCCTTTGAGACACTCCCCCTCACTATTTTCTCTTCTGTTCCTAACTTCTCAGCACTCTTATGTCCTCTGCACTGAATACCCACCCTCTCCCACAACCCACCCCCCCATAATGCCTGCCTTTCCATACCCTTTCCCAAGCTCTGTGTCTCCAACATTGGTCCCAATCAAAAGGTATGTCTTTATGTCTTTGTCTCATGCCCCCCAGGGCACATTCTGCTTTAAAGCCCCGTAGTTGCGTTTTCAGTCACTGTACGGATGCCAGCCGCCTAACCGATAGCCACTGGTCTCGCCTTCCTTAGTCTTAGAATCTTGGTTTTATTTGATTGATTATTGTGCCTAGCTGGAAATACGGTATTTCTCAGCCTGCCTTGAAGCTAGGTGTGGCCCTATGATTAAGTCCTGACGAATGAGATATAAGCAGAAAGGTTGTATGGAAGCTTCCAGAAAACTTCCTGAAGGCAGCAAGTGTGGGCTGTTTGCCTCTCTTCCATATCTCTTTCTCTCTTTCACTGGCTAGATTGTAGATACGGTACGTAAAGGGAAAAACACACTCATCTCACTCTTTTTGTGTGTCTCTCTACTCCCAGTGCTCTACTTAGAGCACTCCACAAAGCTTCTAATGCCAGATGTGTAGGTTTTCCACATACCAAGCATTTCTGTGACATTAGCGGGGTGTCCTAAAATTTAACTCAATTCTGACACTATCCAGCTGGAGACAGTGTCACATCTCACAGGTGAAGGGTTCAGTCCCACAAGACAGCCACTTCCACACTGGCTCTGATGCCAGTCATAAGCCCAGGTTGTCACCTGTGCTTCTGACAGACAGCTATAAATCAGAGGTTCCCACAACTCCCTCCTGGGGCTCAATTAATTTGCAAGAGTGGCTCGTAGAGCTCAGGAAAACAGTGTACTACTAGATTACCAGTTTGTCATAAAAAGAAACAACTCAGGAACAGCCAGATGGAAGAGAGGCACAGGGCAGGTATGTGGGAAGGGGCGCAGAGCTTTCCCTGCCTCCTCTGGAAAGGCCACTCTCCCAGCACCTACCTAGTCGGGGTTGGGTCCCCTGGAAACCAACCCCCACCCTTAGGTGCTTTCCAAAAGTCACCTCATTAACATAAATTCTGATGTGGTTGAAAGGTACTTGTTATAAATAACAAAAGATAACTTTATCTCTCTGATCACTTAGGAAATTCCAAAGGTTTCAGGAGCTCTGTGCTAAAAACCAGGATGAAGACTAAATATATATTTCTTATTATGAATCACAATGCCACACGGTGGCTGGAGCTAGAGCAGCTATTTTGATCCATGAGGTGATCTGGGAATGGAAGTCACTAAGAGATATCCAACAAGAAAGAAAGTTCATTTTGAGGGCGTTCTGGAGCAGAGTTGCCATATGGACTCTTAGGCAGTGTAGTTCCCAGCACCACCCCCCCAAAAAAAAACTTTGATTGCATTTAAGCCACTGTTGTTTTGCACCTCTGTTACTTTTTGCCTCCACTTAATTCTAAAACAGCAACACTTCTAGGAACACCCCTTCAAAAGAGGACATGTCATTCGCATGCACATTTTTTTGTTCTCTCCTTCTGCTTCCTGCCTGGGATGTGGACCCGAGAGCCAGAGCATTGGCAACTCTTTTAGTCAACTTTGAAGATGATAAATAGAAAGAGATGGGGTGCCTGATGACTGTGGGACTCCCTGGCCAGCTCTGCGCTTATTTTCTGTGGGAGAAATAAACACTCTCTTGCTCAAGCGCTGGTGTTGCAGTTCTCTAGTACCAGCAGCTGAATACAATTTATAACTGATAAAATCTGTAATTCTGTAAAGAATCTGTGCACTCAACAAAGCAAAGCTTTTTATGACTTTATTTTATAATAGCTGTTAGTTCTCAACTACATTGGCTATAGATTTTTGACAGCAGTGACAGGTACATAGGTATCCGACGTTTGTTTGGTGACTCCTCATCCTCAGTATGTTTTCTGGATAACCACACATGGAAGCAATACAGGACATTCCTTATCCCTTTGCCCCAGACAGCTTTGCTGAGCCTGGTGTCAAAGCACACATCTGAGATGCCATCTCCTTCGAGGCAAATTTCTGGATCTTGAAGAGTGCCCAAGGGCCAGGTGTCTTGAAGCCCACTTTGCGGATGCACTTGGGAGTGTTGGTGGTGTATTCTTTGGTCTCTGGCTCCTTGATGACAGGCAGAATCACCCTTTTCAGCGCCCTTCTTTGCCTGAGCTGTGCTCCCGGCCCAGATTGGAAAGGAAGAAAGTAAATAGGAGAGGGAAAGCACCGTTGCCCCAAAACATTTTTAAGCTATTGAAAACTCTTTGTGATCCTTGCAAATGCCAGCATTATAGCTCACTGCATAGATGCTGCATGATTTAATCGTACAGGGCCCAATTTTCAGGTGTTCACAACTTTTTCTTTCATTTACTTGCCATTCTAATCTAATCCATTCTATACTTAGAAAAGTATTCCACATTCAAGTATGATTACTATCTCTGTCATTTCCTACTGAGACTCACAGTTTTCATGTTTCTAGTTTCCTCCCACCAGCCTAATTCATGAAGAAAGTTAAACTGGGTCTGAGTAAACTCAGTGCCCTTGGAGACACCCTCTCCACCTGCTAAGGGATAAGAACTTGGGAACCTAGGAAAAGTAACTCTATTCTACTCCAACAGCCCTCAGAGCATCTTTCCATGGTCCGCCACCTATGTGCAATTTCGAACCCTCCTCTCTGCCATTCTTGATTCCAGACTTTTGCTTGATGACTAAATTTTGTTTATTTGTCACATTTCTTCTGAATGACACTTCAGTTGCACTGTCTGCCTGGATTTTCATTTTCCTTTAGACTTTGATCTCTGTCTGCTACATTTCCTATAGCCTGGGTGCCAGTCCCCGCCCACTCCTGTGTCCAACCTGGGTCATTCCAGGTATAACATCAAGTAGTCTCCCCGAGAATTCCTGTTGTATGTTTTACTTACTTGGATGAATTTTGCTTGAGTGTCTCAGGTACTTGAATTTTCCAGACTCTCAGGCTTTTAACTCCAGGCATGACCTTTTTGGGAGAGTTTTTTTTACTGTTTTCCTAGTGGCTGGAGATCGATATTCCACTTGTTCTGGTTGATCAAAACTACTTTCCAGACTCTTTGCCTTTTTTCCAGATGAAATTTCTGGAATATTTGGACTATGTATCCTATTTGACCATCATTTATACTCTGTACTTTGAAGACTTCTTCCCATTGCCTCAAAATATGACCCTACTTTCATTTTGGACTTTGGATACCTGGCCTTCACTAGACTGAATTTGCAATATCCAAATTTAGTTTCTGATTATTTGACCCTTTATCCTGGAAACTGAAAACCTGTCCTAGTTTACCACCCATCTTGCTAGCTTTTTCACTAATTCCCCTCCTTCCTTTAGGATTAGCTTTCCTTACTCTCAGTTTTCTATCTTTACAGGGGAGAGGTATACTGGTAGAGCCCAGTCCCCCAGGTCACTCTCTGGTTTGCTAGGAGTCAACCACGACAACAAAAGCTGCTCGCATATCTAGTAGGGAGAGACTCACCGGGTTAGTGCAGTGAATTGTGGTAGCCCCATCAAACTTGATCTCACGAAGTGTCCACAGTCGTATCAGAGATCTATCCTGGGTGAATCCTGACAATACCAGTGCCAGCGTTCAACCAGCAGAAGCTTACATTATTCAAGTTCTACTACAGTTAGCTCTCTTCTTCTCCCTAACTATTCCACGATCCTGACAAACAAGCAGTTTGTAGATGATTACTCCAAACTGAGCAACAATGACAACTGAGCATGTGCTCAGGTTTATTGCTCTAAGGACTGTCAATAACCAGATTGCAGAGACACTTACTTTGTGCCGTACTCAGGTCATGGAGCTAGTTTTTTTATATCAAACTTTTCTCTTTGTTTTCATTGAAGTATATTTGATTTGCAATGTTGTATTAGTTTCAGGTTACAGCAAAGGGATTCAGATATATATATATATTAGTTTTTCAGATTCTTTCCATTACAGGTTATTACAAGGTATTGAATATAGTTCCCTGTGCTATACAGTAGGACTTATTGTTTATTTTACATATAGTAGTTTGTATCTGCTAATCCAAAATCCTAATTTATCTCTCTCCCCCTTTTCCCTTTGGCAACCACAAGTTTTTTTTCTATGCCTGTGAGTCTGTTTCTGTTTTGTAACTAAGTTCATTTGTGTTGTTTTTTTTTTAGATTCCACATATAAGTGATACATGTCTTTCTCTGACTGACTTACTTCACTTAGTATGATAATCTCTAGGTCCATCCATGATGCTACAAGTGGCATTGTTTCATTCTTTTTATAGCTGAGTAGTTTTTCATTATATATATTATATATATATATATATACATTATATATATTATATATATATATATATATATATACACATCGCATCTTTATCCAATCATATGTTGATGGACCTTTAGGTTGCTTCTATGTCCTGCTATTGTAAATGGTGCTGTTATGAACATTGGGGTGCATGTATCTTTTTGAATTAAGAGTTTTCTCCAGTTATATGCTCAGGAGTGGGATTGCTGGATCATACGATAACTCTATTTTTAGTTTTTTAAGGAATCTCCATACTCCTTTCCATAATGGCTGCACCAAACTATATTCCCACCAACAGTGTAGGAGGGTTCCCTTTTCTCCACAACCTCTCCAGCATTTATCACTTCTGGACTTTTTAATGATGCCCATTCTGACCTGTGTGAGGTGATAACTCACTGTAGTTCTGATTTGCATTTCTCTGATAATTAGTGATATTGAGCATCTTTTCATGGGTCTATTGGCTGTCTGTATGTCTTCTTTGGAGAAATGTCTATTTAGGTCTTTTGCCCATTTTTGCATTAAGTTGTTTGTTCTTTTGTTATTGAGTTGTATGAGATGTTTGTATATTCTGGAGATTAAGCCCTTGTCAGTCATTTGCAAAAATTTTCTTCCGGTCCATAGGTTTCCTTTGCAGTGCAAATGTTTAGAAGTTTGATCAGGTCCCATTTGTGTATCAAATTTTTCTTGTGACTTTTTGTATTGGACATTTAACAAATACGTCATTGTTTTCCATTAATATAGTCTCCAGGATAAGAACCTATAAAGGTTATTGTTAATAGGGACTAATTAGGTTTATTTATTTATTTTTAAAGGCAGTACTTGGGGATTGAACTCAGGATCTTGCGTATGGTAAGCATGCACTCTACCTCTTGAGCTGTATCCTCCCCTTAAGGTTATTGTTAATGGAAAATTTATTTCTTTGCCCTTTTAGTAGATTAGCATGATTGTGCAGATATTTATCTGTGCATTCTCCGGATCTCAATGCAGTTACACTCATACTGTTCCTTCACCACTTTCATTATGTCTCATGAAAGCCTTTACAGCCTTGTGTCTCGTAAAGTGCTTAAAACGTTTGCAAACACAAAGAAGAATAGCATGTGAGAATTATGTGACTGATGCCAGGTGGTAAACTGTAATGAGATGAATGTGCTGTATCCATCTTTCTAACTAATGCCTGATGATAGGGCGGCTGCGTCTCATCTCCTCCGAATATGCTAGAACCTTTGCAAAGGTGTTCATTAAAGTCTGAATTATGCAACTAGGGGTTTAAGTGATTTCACACATTAACAAGGACTGGTCTTGTCTTCTGCCTTTTGTGTTTTCAGTGTGTGATTTGATTTTAGTTTTTGTCAGGCAACGAGAACCTGGGAGATTTAAGGGCACTCACTTCAACAGGCCGTCTGTTTACTCCAGGCAGTGCTGGGTGACAGCGCTAAGCTGATCATGCAGATAAACAGCTCTGGAAGCGGGTCTGCAGTTAGTCATCCAACAAGGCAAGGCAGTTTGGTCATCCTTTCAGGCCATAATTACATTCTATTCCAGTGACCAGTGGTAATTAATTGTACTTTGCGCCCAATGTAAAAATAGTCACATACAGGGGAAAGTGCAGTGTCTGGTAAAGGCCACGGGCATTCTTGGAATTCAGGCTAGTTTCTTTGAATGGGGTAAAGGAAGTGAAAGCCTCACTTTCTCCCAGAATAGTATCAAGTTGTAACAGGCAGCTGACCTGCAATAGTGCCCGCCCCCAACTCCCAAATGAGCCTTTAAAGTTCCGTAACTTTTGATAACAAAAGCAAGCTTTACAAAATAAAGCATTCACATAGCTTACATCCTCTCAAAAAAAAAAAAATAAGTAAGTGAGTTGTACAGACCTACACAAAGCTTCACCTGGAAAAGCACTTTGGAAGAAAGGCAAATAAATGTGCAGACCACTGAAGATACATTGAGTGCGGAAAGCTAGATTAAAAAGCTAGAGGAAACAATTTAATTCGATCCTTTATTTCTTGATGGAGAACTGAATTCAAGGAAGGTAGTAGGACCTGCATAAAGTTAGTTAATGGCAGAGCTTGGATCCAACCTGCAGCTTCTGAGAGTGAATCACGGGCTCTTTCTACAATATAATACAGCCTCAGAGCAGGGAATGAGGAATAACTGATTTTTCCATAGTCTAGAACTCTAGAATCTAGAGCCTAGGAGAATTCAAAAGCCGTTAACATTCTGTTTTCCTTAGGGCTAGACTTTTAATTTCTCTCTTAATTCAGACATTTTCATGCAGCTAATGGAAATAAGACTGCAGAGTCTTTTTGGGTTTTTTTTTCCTGTTGTTTTGTTTAAAGCTTTCTAAACTTTAGCCACTGAAGTACTAATAGCATGATTTTTGACATATCTGCATATCAACTCTACTATGTCCTTTTAAAAAAAGGTATTTCAATTTTATTTTAAGAGGATATGTATCCTTGCCATAAATGGAGAGCGAGAAAAACAGAATCATTTGCCATAAGTAGAAGGCAACCTTAGAAATGAATATAAAGCAATGTCACTAAATTCTCTAAAGATCCTCAGCCCAAGGCCTGCCCTTCTTTGTTAAAAAGGAAGATTAATACAAATTTACATCAATCTGAGACTTAACTTTTGTTATAATCAGAAATACTGGAAGAAAATTGAGAAGGGAATAAAGTTCTTATTGTGGTTCACTTAGACAACACTTCAAATAACCTCTTTAACCACTAATTCAGTTTGGAGAACACTACTACAGTGAATGCATTTACTACCATCAATACTTAAAATTAAAGTCCTTTAGGATCTTCTTGTTCCCTGCAAGAGCTATACATAAGAGGCAGTCTTGCTTTGTGGAGGCCC